TCATAAAATCATAAGCTGCCTTCTCTCCTTCCTGAAATTAAAATAAAAGAGGTTCCAGCCCTCCCCTGACCCTGAAGACATGTTAGTGTTTCTTCATTGCAGAACAAGACTAGTTCCACTATGATTTCAAAAAGAGGGTTTTGAGAGAAACTGCAATGACAAAAACCAGAGCTCAGCATACCGTGATCACCACAGAGTGTCCACAGCCTGATAATCTCTCCCTCTTTGTAGTTTCTCATCGTCCTTCCTCTTTCCATCCATTGCTTAGAGTCCATTTGGAGACTGATGATTACTTGGTGATTTGGCATGGGGGGGTGGCTAATTGACTAACCCATTTTAAATACAAAATCAAGTTCTGACTTCCAAGAGGTCTGGAGAAGCAAAACAATCATGCTTTTAGCACACCATGGACAGGAGTTCTGTGACTAGCTGTCCCTCCATTTTTCATCATTGCTCCAGTGACCAATCAAAGCAACTAAGCTAGCTTGGAGACCAAGTCCAAACTCTAAAAAAGAAAATACTTCAAATCCCATTGTGGGCTGGGACAGGAACTACTTTTACACAGTAAACATAGTCAGATGGGGCCTTTAACCCCAAGAGGTCACACAAGCCAGGGATGAAAATAGCTTCAAGAGGTTAGATGGCAGTCCCTGATGACAAGAGCACACAGCTCTGGTAAAGATTAAGACTGACAATACAAGTGGTGGGGCAGAGATTCTGGATGTTGTTGCTATTCAAAAAGGAGTTTCACTGGAGAGCTTTGGGAGAAAATGTCGATGTTATCCTGTAGAGAGAAACAGTTGCCCTTCCTGTAAGCCAGCAGGTTCAGACCTCATGACCATTCTAGAGAATTGCCCTAGTGGGGCTTCAGAATTCATGGACAAGAATGTTCAACCCCTGGCACTGCCAAAAAAAAAGATTATTTTAAAAACTTAAAACTTACCTTTCAAACGATTTCCCTAAAACTATCTCAGCATATCAACTACTCAAATGTTGAGATGACACACAGCCAAGAAGAGGTAGGTAAGCCACGAGAGTTTCTAAACGCTTACAGTCAATTTCAGTAGTTAAATTGCAAGATACTTGAAATACTCTCCATGTCTCTCCCATACTAAGTTCCTAAAAACGTGGTCCTCATTCAGGAGGTATGGAGTGGGCCTAGACACAGCCACATGATTCTGGGACTCAGCAAGGCTTGACAGCTGCTGCTCTTAGCTCAAGGACAGTGATCATGAGGTTTCTATTTAAAAGGACTCCTCTTCAGGAATGTCCACTGTGGGTGTCAGAAAGTAGGGGCAGATCCATTTAGGGTTAGAGAGAGAACCTAGGGCCTTGCACATTCTACGTTATACTCACTGAGTTTTACCCCAGACTTGTTTTATTAGACAGAGTTTCTCTGTGGCTTTGGAGGCTGTCCTGGAACTAGCTCTTGTAGACCAGGCTGGTCTTGAACTCACAGAGATTCTCCTGCCTCTGCCTCCCAAGTGCTGGGATTAAAGGCGTGCGTCACCACCACCGGGCTACCCCAGACATTTTAATTACTGTTCTATTGATGTGAGGAGACACTACCACCAAGGCAATGTATAGAAGAAGGCAGTTACCTGAGGGTTTACAGTTTCAGAGGGTGAGTCCATGAACGTCAAGGCCAGGAATTTGGCGACAGGCATGGCACTGGCATGGTAGCTGGGAACTTACATCCTGGCAGGCAGAAGACTGGGCCTGCTGTGGGCTTTTGAAACCTCAAAACCCACCCCTGGTGATATGTCTCCTCCAACAAGGCCATACTTCCCAATCCTTCCTAAACCAGCCGTCGACTGAAAAAGTAAAATGTTTCCAGAGTCAGTTGATTTCAGAAAGTTCGCAGTGAAAACAAGAAAAATACAGGCAAGAAAAATTGGGAAATATCAATGTAGCTCACAGTTGTTAGGTAGCATGCTCATCCAATATGCATGAAACCTGGGTGCGCACGCGCGTGCACACACACACACACACACACACACACGACAAGAGGTGGAGGCTGGAGGTTCAGAAGTTCAAAATCATAAACAGCCATGTAGCAAGTTTGAGACTCCTATCTTTGGAAAAAAAAGAAAAAGAATCTGTTCCTCCCGCCCCCCCCACCCGTGGCCAACTCACAACTGGAGTGGGTTTACAGGGAATGTCTTGGTCTCTTGATTGGGCATTAGTGTCATTTCAGAAAGGCCATAATTCTGGGAGAATGAGACGATATTTAGAGAGGTAGCCCGCGTTTACCGGTTCACAGCACTTTTTGTGAGCTAGTTAATGCAGGTGGATATGTGCAGAGCAAAAAGACTGTACTGGCTCATGGGACATAGAGCTGTTGGACCCACACAACTGTCAGCCCAAGCTTTGGAACTGATTTAGAAGAAAAGCCAGCTGTTTTCATTTAACCTCTCGAAAAGGCTTGTGCAATGACTTCCTCAACCACAAAAGAAAAATACAATGACAGGACAAATTACTCTCCAAAGTGTTTCTTAAGATGTGAACAACCCCAACAGTAAGACTGGTGTCGAGATTAAATGTTAAATAGCTTCAAAATAGGTCTTAGTTCTTTGTGTCTGAAGTTGTTTAGACTATCTTCAGAGAAACTTCTCAAGGGTTTCCTTATTTCCTTACTGGAAACAGTTGAGAACCTTTATATAAGGCCGGGGTTACCAGGGCAGTGTGATTTATACAGTAAAAGAGAGAGAGACAAAGCAAAAGCAAACATTTGCCAACGAGGGAGGGCTGAAATAATGGTGCCGAGCTCTTCAGAGCAGTAACAAATACATCTGACGGTCGAGCTCTTTCATCCCCACAGCCAATAACACTTGTTCAGTGTACCTTGGAGAACTAGCTGTCAGCAGGCCCTCCCACAAGACTCAGCAGTCAGCTAGGACCTCACTGCTATAACCCCACACAGCGTGGTAACAGAAATCTGATAAAATAAAATGCACTTGATTCCACGTAGGAACGTCAGCAGCTTACAAGTTATATAGCAGCAGTTAGAAAAAGACGGGAAAGCATATGTCTAAGCCTGAATCGGGTTCCGCAGTGTGATGTTTCTGGAGGCCAGAGGATCCCACAAGGCCGCAACAGAGCTTCTGGGGGAAGAGCCAGCAGGACTGGAATAAATGGAAGGGATGAAACCTTTCCAGGTGAGAAGTAAAACCAGAGGCAGCCGTTGCCCTTGCTATGTTCTTTGAGTTGACAGCTTGAACAGTGGTGGGTGGCTTCAGTGGACAGCTTTGGCTGGGATTAGTGTCTGACTAGAAACACACCCACTGAAGATGGCAACGAGCCGTCCCTACACTCACACTCTTAACCCTCCTAACTTTCTCCCCCTAAACTGAAGACAGACTGGAGGCTAGCGAAATCCTGGCCTTGAACCAGCGCTGAGTGTTTCCACTCCAGAGTGCTGGTCATCGGCAGAAATTGGCAGAACTTTGGGGTCTCTGTCCCTGGCTGTGAGGAGGTGACTTTCCAGAGAATGTGTGTCTTAGAAAGGGAGGATGGGTGCTCATGGGAGACCCCATGGCCTTCGTGCAGAAACTTGGTACAAATTTTAACTTGAGGCACAATTAGTTGCCTGAAAACGATTTGATGGGGACTTGGCAAATGGTTTGAACCCCAGTCCCACGCAGTCAAAAAGCTTCTTGTCCTGTCTGAAGTCTGAGGTATAGGTCACAGGTGGAAAGGTCTAAGCACTGGGCACATTATCCAGGTAGCTCACCCCCATCAAAACCTGCTCAGGACATCTCTGCTGAGGGTTTTTACAATTGTTTGCTAATGCAACAAATCAGGGTGATTCCCACACTTCTGCTTGGCCAAGCCTGTACCGAATCCACAGCCAAGAATATCTAGAAGATCAAATTCTGTACCTCCCAGTCTTCAACCAGGGAGCGTAGGAGGAAGGGAGCACACCTGTCAGTTTTCTTAGTCCCAAGTCAACCTACGGAGACCGGAGGGAACACAGCAGGAAGGTCGCTGCCTCAACCTGCTAGCAATTTGTCTTTAAAGTGAAGACTCGCGAGAGACTTCGAAGGCCGAGGTGAACCTCCTTTCTTTTGAGGAAGTCCCGAGGTTTTAAATGGCAGTTGATTTTGATCCTGCTTAACTGTGTAGGTCTTGAAAGGTATCACCCCCATACAGGAGAGCATAGAGGGGTGGGCTTTAGGATGGAGGCCTGGCGATAGTATGTCTGGGGTTCACGGCTTAGGTTTAAAAGTTGCCAGGAAAGTGGGCAAAGGTGATTGCTGGGGCGTGCAGGTGGTTCAGCCTCCTCCACTCCATCACCCCGCCGGAAGTCATTATCTGCAGTTCCATTTCCTTAATCTGTCAATCGGAAAGATCTTTTAAAGCATCGTTTACAATTTTATAACTGTTATTTGTGACTGTGGGCAATTTAACTTTCCCTCTGTGATTTTAGTGCACTTCAGATTTTCTACAGTATGTGTTATGTTCTAATCAGGAAAAAAAGTAAATAACTATTGGTGTTACTTTTATTTTTTTAAGTGAGGTCTCCATTTCCCCAACTTGCGCGGTGGGAGTCTCTTCCCCCCCCAAAGTGTGCGGTGCGCAGCGCTCGCAGGCGAGGCCCCCACGTGCTAGCCCGCGGCGGAGGCGGGGTGCGGCGGCCCGGGAGGCGTGCCTAGGCGGCCGGGAGCCCAGCCCTGTGTGTGTCCTCGGTCCCCAGGGCAGCTCCGGATCAGCTCCGGATCTCCGGAGGCAGCTCTCAAGGCGCTTCCTTTACTGTCCCCTCGGAGTGGCAGCCGGGAGGCGGCTTCTTCCCCCTCTCCATCCTTGGCCAGGTTGGGGATGGTCCCAGGAGGCTAGGACACGATCTGTAGTCCCTCCTCCGGGGGTCCCGGGAGAAGGCGCTCGGGAGTTCCGCAGCCCGCAGCGCGGGGGTGGGGGTGGAGGCGCAGAGGGGGCTCGGCGGGACGGTGAGAGGGGACAAGCCAGTCTCGCTCACCCAGCGCTTCTTCTTCCCCCCGCAGCCGCGCCAGAACCATGTCGGCGAAGACCGCGAGCGGCCCCACGGAGGACCAGGTGGAGATCCTGGAATACAACTTCAACAAGGTCAACAAGCACCCGGACCCCACCACGCTGTGCCTCATCGCCGCCGAGGCGGGCCTCACGGAGGAAGAGACGCAGGTGAGTCCCCAAGCCTAGCGCATCCCCGGGGACTGGCGGGTCCCCGCACTTCTCGCGGGCCTCCACTGCGCGGGTCCCAGTCCATGCATTCATTACTCCGCAGCTCCCTGGGCGCCCAATCCGCCCCCACCCCAACCCCGTCCCACCACCGCTTTCCTGCTGGCTCTCCAAGCATCTTGTTGTCCTTACAGTTTCCCAGCTCAGTAACTCTCTCCTCTGTGCTGGAGATCTTCAGGAAGGCTTATTTTCATCAGGGGTGTCACAGTTGGAAGGGACTTTGACGATCAGCTATAAATTCAGCCCTTGGTTTTGTCAAACGAGGAAACTAAGGCGGGGGTGGCGGGACACCTGCCAGGGTTGTTAAATTGCTCTTCCCGCCACATCGCGGTGCTGTATGCGTCTCCTCAGCTACACAACCGAACTGGCACGTTGCCATGGTTTGGTTCGGGTTTTGTTGTTGTTTTTATTAATCCCCTGGTTCGGAGGCTTAGAGGCTTTCTCTGGAGTTTTCCAAGAAGGTAGCCCTCTGATGCTATTGCGCACAGGCCCCCAGCGCGATGATAATGTGTCTATTTGTAAAAGGTTCCCTTGTTATCGCATTTACCTGTAAATTGCTTAGGGTAGAGATTGCAGCGCCGCCTGGCGCAATGTTGGAGCTTTAGCCTGCTTTCCCTGTCTAGTCCTATCTAAACTCTGACTTCTCTTTTCCCCTCCGAAACTGGGATATTCTTATCCCTCCCGGTTAGTAGACTGGAGAAGGAGGGGCTTTGTCTTCTCTTCACCCTGCACAGTTGAATGAAGCTTAAAACCTTGCCATGAATGCTCTCTGGGATCCTGGGACCAAAATCCTGAGCCCCAAACCCTAGATGATCTTTTAATAAGCCCAGGGCAACTTGGAGAACTTACCCATATGTAATCTTGGGATCCCAGATCAAGTAGAAAGACTGTCTAGCCAGAATCAGAATCCAATAGAAGGTGATTTATTGTAACCCAAGTCTAAAAGCTCATGTTTCTTGGAGCCCATGAAAAGGCAAGATGTTGGAGTATTAGAGTTTTAAAACACATGCTGTATTTAATGATCATGAAGATGTCTCATGTTTAAAAACTAAACTGTTGGATATTATGGACCTAGTACTAACTAGGGATCTAATTCCGTCTCAGCCTTCAAGTCTCTTCACCCTGAAAAACAGAATAGTCACATTGTCTGTCATTTACCGTCATGTGTGTGTGTGTGTGTGTGTGTGTGTGTGTGTGGTGCCTTGAGCATGCCCTGTGCCACTGAGCTGTGCCACCTGCCCCATGCTGACCTTTGGAGTGACAAATATTTGCCATGTGTTGTTTCAGATACTTGCTAAGTATAATGCCACTTATTTTGTCACTGTCTTTAGGAGAGAAAGCACTGGTAGCACTCAGTAAAGGAACCAAGGCACAGAAAGCTTAAGTTACTGGAACTGCAAGTCTGGTTCCATGTGGTAGACCCTGGGCCTCACTGCTATACTACCTCATAGAGGAGGGTGGAAACGACTGTGTGGTGGCATGGGAAGGAAGGGCAGAAAGATCAGTTACCCATGCATTAAGCAACGGTCATGCCAGGCTATTGCTAACCTTTCCTCCGGGTTTACCTGCCATTCGAGATCTGACATAAAATCTAGTAGGAGTTGAGGTCAACAGATGGAGAAACCTGCACGACGGGGTGTCTGCCCATGGTAGTTCTTCTGTCTTGCCTCTTCTGCTATCCTCGGATGAACAAATGGTGCAACCAGACTGACAAGAGTGGGTTTGGGTGAGTCAGGCTCATGGGAGGGCCTGGCTTCCTCTTCCTGCCACCGGCCAACACCTTCTTCCTCTAGAGGCCCGCTGCAGCTCAGCTTACCCTCATCTTCCTGTCTAGACCTGCAGGGAAGTACCTGGAACCCAGAGTGCAGACTGTCAGCATAGCGAGTCCAGGAATGAGGCTTCTGCTTGCCCTGTCCTTTCTGGTTGGACTGGGTCCCATCCCCCCATCCTTTCTAAACTCCACACAACCACCTTCATATGAGAGTGGTTGTATTTTCTTCTCTAACACTTACATGTGAAAGGATGTCTTCTGCAGAAAGAAAAGTGTCTTCTGCAGACACAGAGTCCTGTGATGAGACTGCAAATGTCAGGCAATTGATTTCATCTGTAGCAGGTCTTTAGGGATGCTTAACAGAGCTCTGTGGAGGCCAGCGCTTGCTGGTTCTCACCTGTCTGTGATGCCGCTGCCAGCCCAGCCCCTGCCTCTCTTCTTTACTAGTGTGGTCCTCTCCCAGCCAAAACCATGTTCACCACATACACCAGAAATCTTCCCATCCTGACTCCAGCCATCTCCAGAGGTGGCATCACACCCCTCCCCCCCTTTTAGAGAGCAAGACAGACGGGGTCTTCCTATGTAGTCCAAACCAGCCATGAACTCACAATCCTCCTGCCTCAGCTGACTGCTGGGATTATAGACAGGTGTCACAATAGCCAGCATCGTATTCCTTCCCTAAAGCAAGTATTGCGTTAGTAAAAGAGGAATACACATGATCTACCTCGAGAAGTAGTTACTGGTTCACTGTCGGCACTTGGGCAAAGGCGAGAAAGAGCAAAGTCAGAAGCATTCTGGCTGGGACCTTTGTGGACTGTTTTTCCTCCTGCCCCCTAACATGAGATGGGTAATATACCAACCAGCATCCTAATAAGGTGTGAGGGAGGCACATCTTACAAAATGGTGTGAAAAGCCAGGCTGTTGTTTAGGAGTCATATTCACAGATCTCCTGGTAACAGTCCCACTATCCAACCAAATTCTAGGATCTCAGTATGCAGTGAGGGCCTCATAGTCAGAGGACTTCTTCATTTGCATTTGTTGGGATCCCCAGGGGAGTTTTTCTCATTACTAGTCACTGTATATCTGCTACATTTAAGTTAAATGAAATCCTACAGAATCCTATTCCTTGTGGTTTTTACTGTATGGAGGTCAATGTAAAGGAGGCTGAGAACACTATTTCATTTTCACCCTGAGAGGCTGGGATGATACAGTCTACACACACACACACACACACACACACACACACACACAAGCACGCATGCACGCACAAACGCGCGTGGGCACACATACACACACACACACAGAGTGCAGTTGGCATTGGTTCTTGAAGAAGTCCCCCCCTCTCTTTTTTTTTTTTTTTTTGTGTGTGTGTGTGTGTTCTGGGCTTGTTCCCAGGATCCAGGGTTTTCGGTTGCTGCTTGTTTTATCAGTGGGATAAGACCTCTAAAGGTCTTGCTCTGAAAAGAACAAAATGCTAGTGGTTAGAGAAAAGGACAAGAACAATGTTGTTTTGGCCCAACCCCTCCCAACCCCAGTGTCCAATTATCATCTGTTCACTCAGAGTAAATAAATTTCCATCAGTGAGCAGGAGTAATGAGAGCACCCATTCATAGCAAGAAGGGATGAATGTCTTTCCCAGGGGATGGCTAAAACAAAGAAGAGAGAGAGAGACAAAGCCAGGTAGAAAATTAGGATTTATGTGAGTCAGAAGCTACAAGATCCAGAGCTAGACAGTAGAGGAGCTAGCAGGAGATGGAGTGCATTTTGTTACCAACGGCTGGTCTTTGCTGAATTATGATGTATAACCTCCATTGACTGTGTGTGTGTGTGTGTGTGTGTGTGTGTACATATATATGCACACACACGTATATATGTACACACACACAGACAGAGAGAAAAAACAGCTGAGCTTTTTCCCATCTCTTCCCATCTCTCAGTGCCGGGGCTTAATTAGTTAAGCATTTAGATGGTACCTTGCAAATTCACAAATGTGGTCCAGGTCGAGGCTATTTTGGGTAATGACCCATCAGTATTCCGCATGTAAAGATGCGGGTGGCTCTTTTGAATGAGACCAGCTTAACCACTTCGTCTTAAATGAGTCCTGATAGAAAGTGAGTCCCCCCCCTTCTAGATTTTAATTAGTCTTTAAAATGCTGCCATTTATTCAGCTCTAGTCCCTGGAAATTCTATTTAATCAGCATTTGCAGCTTTGAAAACCCCACAGTTACCTCATTAATGAAGTTGGTGCCATGCTGCTCTCAAAAGCACACCCAGGCTTGACTGAGCACACACAAATAAAAAGAAGATGTGCCCACTGGTCACAGTCAAAGTCGGGCTGAAGTCACCATCACATGAGCCTCCATTCACCTTAAGATTGGAATAGCCATGGCGATGTGGCTCATCTGGTACGCGCTTGCCTAGCATGCCATGGGTTCCATCCTCAGCACTGACTAAACCAGGCGTGGAGAACACCTGTAACCCCATTGTTTGGGAGGCAGAAGCAGGAGGACCAGAGGTGCAAGGTCCCCAGATGCATAATGAGTTCAAGGACAGGACAGCCTGTGCTGTAACAGGAAAAGACAGGAAAAAATAAAAAGACAGACGGAGAAGAGAAAAAGAGTGGTTCCCCAGAGTGAAATGAGACCTCCAGGGAGCAAGTCCCACAGAGCAGGCTTCCCTGTGGTGGTCACCCCCTTGGGTTTCTATTGCTTTTCTCTGCTGCCACCCAAGAAGAAGGGTGGAGAGACGGCTGGTGCTGGCACAGGGGTGAGGCAGAGGCTCAGCGGGTAAACTCTCAGGCGGGCAACCTGAGTCCCGGCACAGAACACGCTCAGCGCACCAAGCAGTCCTGAAGCCTCAGGCCCTTTCCTGAGGTCAGCCTGTCCCCAGCACTTAGTGGCCCTTCTGTCCTGTGGGTCACACCCTTTCTTCTGATCTTGGTTTCCTTGGATCCCAGCAGAGAGCTGGCTCTTCTCCAGTGGGGCCCAGCCTACTTATGAACATGAAGGTTTCCCACTGGGGCCACCCCGTCAGCACACCCCACAGCAGCTGTATTACGTCACTACTGTCTTCCCTCACCTCCCTACCCCTAGTCTAGGCAAACCTTAGGAACCCCACAAAGGACAATAGGGGCCTCCAAAGCTTACCTCTTTGTTTGCAGGTGAGCTGACTGACACTGCTCTTAGGGACTTCTTGCAGCCAGTCAGCAACAGTAGAGTTGACTATTGGCTCAACCTGCAATGCTCACCTACTCCAACAGCTTGACCGATTAGGACCAATGCTATGCAATCTGATCATTACCCATGTCCTCCATGACACGTGAGATGCCAGGCTCAAGGGCAAACTGCTCGTTCTGCCTTCCCAAGGAGAGAGGCCTGCTGCTTCTGTTTCCTCAACAGTGCCTTTCAAAGCTGGTTTCTTCAAAGCCTGGCTTCCTTCTGACCTCCTGGTTCAGAGCTAAGTCTTGTACCCAGAGCACAGTTTTAATTTCATAGTCTCTAAGGCCCTCCATCTGAAGTAATATTGTAAAGGCTGCCAATGTGTTGAGAGTGTACCACAGTGCTTTCTAGCTTACAGGAATGTCCCGGGCCCCCGTTAGTTTGAGTGACTTGAGCTGGATAATTCAGAGTCACTGTACCTTCTTTCGCTGCTCAGCAGCCCACTCCCTGGATTCCTAAGGAGGAGTGGTCCAGGGTTGCCTAATGCTTGGTTATGAGTTGTTTACTGAACAAAATTTGACCAGGATACTACTAAGGAGCAAAGCCCATGTTGTCATCAGCACTGATCATGGGATATTGAACCCAGAGACTAGACATCCTCTGGGGCATCAAGGAGTTGTTTCAGCTTCTTTTATTCACTCATCAGGCATTCCTTAATCAGTTACATCTTGAGACTTTGTGTAAGGAGTAAGATGTGATGATGTTAAGATGAAAACAGCCTTGGCCTTCATGCATCTTACGTTCTAGAAGAGCGTATGCAAGCAATTGAAGTAATGATAGTGAAAGTCCTATGAAGTTAACGAAATAGTAAAACAGAAAATAAAGGGAATCTACTTTTAACAGAGTGGTCTTGTTTAAGCTGAGACCTGAGGGAGGGGACACAGAGAGCGAGAGAGACAGAGACAGAGACAGAGGGATGGCAAATTGTGGCATGCGCAGAATTCCTGAGGCAAGGAAGGTGGTGAGAGATCCATCCCCACATCCCTTGCTTCTCTGCTTCCCGACAGGGCCGCACAGACCACCCTCGGAAATTACATAGACACTTCAGCTTTTCAGTACGTGACGGGTAATTTTTCACATTTCTCTCTTTCAGAAATGGTTTAAGCAGCGCCTGGCCCAGTGGCGGCGCTCAGAAGGCTTGCCCTCCGAATGCAGGTCTGTTACAGACTAGGGAGCTGGCCACCTGCAACCTTGCTTGCCGGCATGTCGAACTCTACCGGCTCCCCCTGGACTCGGCTTGCCCAGGCTGTTTTGATGTTTCAGTGCAGTGTTGAATGTCCCTTTGTTTTCTGTCCTGCTATTTAATACAATGTGTTTTTTAAATGTATATAACAGTTCTGTGTAAAGCAACAGCTTGGCTGGGAAAGGGGTGTGGCTTGCATTTGCCTTTGGATTTTAATGAAAGATGGTGTGGAAATTTTTTTTCTTTGCCTTCGGTCATCACCTTCCAGTAGCAATTCACATTTACCATCCATTTCAGAACCACCAGGCTTCTATTGAAAACATATCAGAACTAGCAGGGAAAGCATCTCCTGAATCCTCTTCCCCGTGTCCCTTCCCCTCTGTTTCATTTAATTCACTGGTGGTTGAATGAGAGCATGGGTGCATTTGAGTCATTCAAATTTTATATATAACAGGAAAGCAAGTAGCTAAGAAAAAGTCGGAAATTTACTTTATTTAAATGGATTTGTTAAGTTTATTTTGCTGAATAAAATGAACTGCTTTCTGTCTCAAAAATGATATCCTAAATAAAAGAGTTTTTGTTGAAATTGAGATGCATGGAACTTTTTTAAAACTGAATAGGAAGCCCTCAAAGAGGCAATCACTAAAAGGGCCTCCATTTTCCAAATCTTTGCTCCCCCACGCATGGTCCAGGATCTGCTCCATCAGTATTACCTACAAGCTTGTGAGGCACGCAGAATCTCGGACCGCAGGCCTGACCCACAGACTCAGAATCTGCCTTTCCCACAAAGCCCCCCAAATGAGCCACACTGCTTCAAGGGGGCCCAGCCCTTTGCACCGACTCACTGTCTCAGCGTGTAAATGCCTTAAGAGCATCTTGAGTGACAGTGCGTCCCATCACAGAAGAGCCACTTGGCTACAGTGCATTAAATTCAGAGGGCATGTTTGTTTGCTTGCTTGGTTTTTTTTTAAGAGGCATCAGCTGAGCCCAGTGTAGCGAGTCACGCCTTTAGTCCCAGCACTTGGGAGGCAGAGATAAGTGGATCCCTGAGTTCAAGGCCAGCTGGTCTAAAGATTGAATTCTAAGTCAGCTAGGGCTACACAGAGAAACCCTGTTTCTGAAAAAAAAAAAAACAGCAACAAAACAGACAAACAAAGGCATCAGCTCATCAACTCATAGGTAATTTTGGGTTGTTAGAGTAACTCCCTAAGATCCTTGGGGACTTACGGTCATTCTCTATACTTTGCTACTATTGATTGGTTGACTACTGATTGATTTTTGGAACAGAGTCTCACTATGTAGCCCAGGTTGGCCTTCAACCAAGATCCTCTGCCTCCTCCTCCCAAGGGCTGGGATTTCAGGTGGGCAGCATCTCCACTTCAAGATCTTCAGTGCTTGGCTGGCTATTAAGCTGATGGATGCTGAGATGCTGACCTGTGCGCATTTCATAAGGAGGCAGGAGGACACTGGAGCTAGTGCACCAAGCAGAGGCCAAACAGTGAGGACTTCTGGTTTAATAAGTTTCTACCTTGCCCCCCCCCAAAGGGGGAGGGGAATAGGGATTCCTGGAAGCTCCATCCTAGCAGCTTCCAACTACATCTCATTGGCCAGAGTGGATCATATGGCCAACAAAATCAAGGTTTTGAAGGTTACAAAGCAGGAAAGGATTGGAAAGGGCATCTGAAATTCATGCTAGCCCGTCCAAGAGCGATGCTGGGCACATCTCTGATTACCCACCACGCTGGCTCAGTCTTCCCGTTTCTTTAAAATAGAGCCCATGAGTAGAACACTAAGAACCATCGCTAATACAAATGTTTACAAGATCCTACTAAACATCCTCGGTCAGCTTCCTCTCTCTCCACCTGAAAGCAGTTCTGTAAACAAACACACGATGAACTGGAGCTGAGCAGAATGGCCTGGTGTCTAGCACACTGCCCTGCAACCTAATTCATGATCTGAGTAGCTGTCAGCACCCAGGCTAAACTCTGACTTCCTTCTGGACAAGAAGAAGGACAAAGGTGGGAACAAGCAGGGATGTGTACTTACAGTGACAGAGAGCACAGAGGGAGTAATTTTTCTTTTTGTAAGCATTCTCTTGATACCGTCTATGCATAGAGGGAAGAGAGGGCTACCCAGATGGCTGTGGGGAAAACAGCCCTTGCACAGATCTGCCTGTGGGCAGTGAGGGATGCCAAACTGGGTCAGAAACCACGTTACACTTAAGTATTGGGAGGGGGTGGTCACTTCTCTGTTGTGAACCTCAGAAGACAGCTTTCGGGAGTTGGTTCTCTTTCCACCACCAGAATGAACTCAGATTATTGGATTTGGAGGCCAAGGTCTTTACCTGTGAAACCGTCTCACCAACCCAAGGCTAGACATCTTTCAAGTATGTCTGAGCCATGCGGCAAGCAAGAACAATTGAGGAAAGAAAGGTTAATCAAAGTATGTCTTACCAGGTCGAAAGAGCACTTCTGGTGCCCAAACATCCAGAGCCCTTGAATAGTACGTGCTGGGAGGCAACAAGAATCCTTTCAGCTGTACATTTGTTGCAAGTTCTAATCAACTTGAGTTGCCTTTTTTTTTAAATTACACAACAAGGACATTAATCTTTATTAAAGTTTTGTAAATGAACAACTAATATATTCCCCACAAGTACTAGAGAAGACTGAGCAGCTATGCAAGGCTTAATGAGAGGTTAGGGTGCTGGGGGCAGTGCTTAAAGGCACAATTTCGCATTTCTTGGTTAAAAGATACACATACACACAGCAGACACTGTCCTTTGACTTGTACCAGTAACATTGACTTCAGAGGCAAAGATAGCAAGAAAAACAAAAAACAAAAACCCCCCAAAAACAAAAAAATAAAGAACTACCCGACCAACCAATCAACCAAACAAACAAACAAAAAATGGGAAAAGAAACAATAAAACCTATAAAAATTACCCAGGATCCCACCACCCTCTAATTAACCTTAGTGTTCTAGTGCTCCATGGTTGGGGTAATAATGTACTTGGAGCCATATTAGAAGCTATGCAGTTCAGGTCCTATCTTTGTCCTGAGAGAATGAAGAGAGTCTTCCTAAGGGGGAAAAATGACTCTCATTTAGGAACACACTCTGATATATTTGGGCAACTATGGAGAGAAGGAAGGGGTGAGGAGGGAGAGGAAGAGAGGAGGACCCTGAGTGGCTGCAGCATAAATCCAGGGTTGGTCCCTGGGGAGTTTAGGTAGGGGGCCACTAGGGTATTTTAAGGAAGACAAGAGTCAGAAGCAAGAGAGAGGCGTGAATGAAAAGGAAAAGGACATGACTGCTTGTAGGTGCAGTGGAGGAGAGAGTTTATTATAGATATGGGGAGAGCATGGCCAGAGGCAGGGTCATCAGAGAGAGTCCAGAGTGGACATGATCAGACTGAGCTGGGCCATATTGGGGAGGGGTTAGGGAGAGGGGAGAGAGGGGACCAGGCGCAGCAGCCAGGATACAAAGAGAGTAAACCAAAAGCCCCGGTAACCAAAATGATTGGATTATATGGAGAAGTCTCACCAGGCCTCAACCCTAGACAAGGAACTACAGGCAACTAAGGACGTTGGACAGCTGGAGAAACCATCTTCCCCACGGAAGAACACCCCTGTTGGTTATTCAGTGTCAGTTGGTCAACTCTGAAATCAAACACGTACAAGTAGCATTATAGGAACTGAGCAGGTAGTATTTGTATATATTGAGGGGCACACACATAAACACACACACACACACACACACACACACACACACACACACACACACACACATGTCCTCCTCCAGAGGACCAGGGCTCAATTCCCAGCACTGTGTCAAGTATCACACACCTGCTGGTAAGCACAGTTTCTGGCGATCCAATGCCCTCTGGCCTCTGAGGGCACCTCATGCATGTGGCACACACAAACTCATGCAGACACACACACACATAAATGAAAGTGAACAAATAAATCTTTCAAAAATAAAAATGACAACCTCACACCAACTGCTTCACGTGTACCCATGCCTAAACTCAATGCCAAAATACTGACAACCATGGGAATAATAAAAACACATGGAAACCTTGCATTTTCTTCCTCTGACAGAGAGCTAAGAGGAACAACCTGGGCACTTGCCAGCCCAGGATTTAGGACAGCACTCATGGCTTATATTGGCCAAACAGGTGTCACGTAGCCTATTTACAGGGAGCTGTGATGAGATGCTCCCTATAAGCAAGCATGGGAACAGAGACGCTGCCTTCCTAAGACCCACTTGCTCCCTTCCACCCTCTGGGTTGCACCAAATGTAGAGAGTATGGCCTGAAGACCTCCGCCTCTAGACCCGAAGCGTCTGTGGCTTCTTGTAAGAGTTTGCTGGCCAAGCTTGGGAAAGCACAAGAAGATTTGAATCTCGGCTTAGCTAACACATGTAAGTATGTCAACAGCGATGAGCTGACTCATAGTTCATGTGAATCACCCAGAGTTCAGCAATGCAGAGTCTTTCTTCTTCTTCCAAATGGAAGCTCCCTTCCTACACCTGGGCTATTATTTGTTTTTGTTTTTTGTTTTTAGAGACAGGGTTTCTCTGTGTGCCAGTTCTGGCTCTCCTGGAACTCACTCTGTAGACCAGGCTGGCTTTAAACTCACAGAGATCCACCTGCCTCTGCCTTCCAAGAGGGGGATTAAAGGCATGCCCTACCACTGCCCGGCTTCCACTCCTGGTTTTTAAGAAGCTTTCTGTGTGGGTATTTGACAGTTTCCATAAGAGGAAGAATCCTGGGGGGTATATGATCTAGAATCCATGAGAGTATAGGTACTATGATCCAGAAATCAGAATGTATTAATATATGAGAAGTCTTTATGTAACAAATAGAGAGAGATGAGACAGAGAATTCTGGTTGCCCCCTTGGCCCTTCTCCCATCTTGAGTTTTTCTTGGGAGTTGGCTGGCCGGTGGGAGACTGTGTGTTCATACTCTATTCCATTAGGGTTTTAGCAGCCCTAAGATGTCTCTAATGACATCTGCCTCCTGATAGTCACACTTTTTTTGCAGAGGGGAGGCGTTCAAGAGACAGGGTTTCTCTGTGGCTTTGGAGGCTGTCTTGGAACTAGCTCTTGTAGACCAGGCTGACTTCAAACTTACAGAGATCTGCCTGCCTCTGCCTCCCAAGTGCTGGGATTAAAGGCATGTGCCACCATTGCCCAGTGATAGTCACACTTTTACTGAGTTGCATCTCAAGTTGTACTGAGCTATATTGGTTAGTTAGCTTTTTTTTTTTTCAACTTGACACAAACTAGAGTCATCTGGGAAGAGGGAATCCCACTGAGGAATTGCCACCACCAGACTGTCCTGTGGGCATGTCTATGAGGCACTGTCTTGAGTGATGATTGTGGGCAGAGCCTCTCCTGGGCAGGTGGTCCTGGATTGCGTGAGAAAGCAGGCTGAGCAAGCCAGGAAACAGCTTTCCTCTATGACCTGTCTCTGCTTCAGTTCCCAACTCCAGGGTCCTGACTCCAGTTCCTGCCTTAGCTCCCTTGGTGATGGGCTGTAAGCTGTAAGATGAAATAAGGCTTTTATTCCCCATGTTGGTTCTAGT